TGTAGATTTATTGTCCTGAACTTCTTGAAAAAATAAATCTTCTTCAAACTCGTTCAACTGGGAAACTGCAAACATTTTATGTACCTTTTTATAGATCAAATCAATCTTTTAACAGCTGCATTCCAAGAATGCTTAGATCTCAGACTGTTCAATATTTCCTTTTCATCATTCAAAACTCAATTATTTAATACTGAGCTTTAATGTTAATGTTTTACTGTGTATTTTCTCTTTTTTAACCTTCAATTAACCTATTTTGTTATTTTAAATGTTCCTAGTTTGTATGACATGTATAATGTCTTTGTTTGTGCTACAGCACTATATGAATTTGTGATATTTTAATTATTTTTTAAATTGTAATTTGTAATTAAGGATCCATCAAGTTTATTAATAAAAAAAGAATACAATTTGGTATATTTAGACCCAGAGCTTAAGACTATGTGGGTCTTACAAGGTACAAATTTTATAATATATCACAGAAGAAGAATTCGGTACCTGCTTAGTTATAATAATAACAATACTACTACAAAATAACTAATAATATTAAAAAAAAAAAAAAAAAAAAAACAGTAATTAGTATCACACTATTACTTAATAGTCTAATCAACAAGTTCCAAAGCGTGTTTTTGGGACATACTATTACGAAAATTATGTTCAATAGCTCATTCGATTCGGAATAATGTCTAGATCAATGTGTGAAGAAAAATTTTGCAGTGCATAAAAAATTGCAAAAGTTATAAACAATTAAACACCTCAAAAACATGGTGTTTGGTTTTTCGCCTATAGTTTGTAAACTATAAATATTTTTGGATTTTTCAAAAAAGATCCTTAAAGAGGAGGAAATTTGCTATAAATAAGTTCCGACTCCCGGAACTGTACCTCCATTATTTATAATTTTAATTTAAAGCTCAAAGTAGCCTTCCGTGCGCCATTTTTAGGTTGCGGGCACGGCGTCGAAACCGAGTAGGTTACATAAAATAATTTTTTTAAGTTAATAAAATTGAATTCAAAAATTTAAAAAAATTACGGTGTATTCTAAACACTTAGAAGAATTCATTCCCGTTGGAATTTTTCATAAAAATTAATTTTCCAACAAAGTAGGTTATTGTTAATTAAAAAATTTTTTAGAATTTCTCTCATCATTACAAATTGATAAAAATATTAATTTTTTTTGCTTCGTGGAGCTCTTTTTATATACATATAAAACAAAATAGCTTCATAAAAGTTTAAAAAATGTTAATACTTTGTTTATAATAATTTTTTAAAGTTTACAAAAACAGAAAAGTCACAGTGGTGCTATAAAAATTTTTTTTTAATTTATTATATTATTACTGTTTTAATGTCGAGAAAAGACATTTATTAATTAAAAAAAAATTTTTTTCCTCCATTTGTTTATACATTTTTTATAAAAAAATGGAGTATTTAAATTTTTTTCAATTTTTTTTTAACAACTTTCTAGACAATTGCCAATTATGATTTAAAAAAATTTTTTTTTCTTTATAATAACTTTTAATTGTTTATAATCGTTTTTTAATATATCTATTGTTTAAATTATTAGTTAAGAAATGTGTATTTTTTTTAAATCATAATTTACAGTCCTCTCCAAAGTAACAGCAAAAAATTTTATTTATTAATAATTCCATTGTTTATTAAGTTAACAATTTGTTATAAACAAATTCCCAACTTTGGTTTATTTTTTTCCTGAAAGAAATAAAAATTCCAAAAACGACAGTGCATTAAAATTTTTATAAACAAATATAAAAAACAACAAATTGATAATAGGTACGGAATTGACAAATGACTTATCTGAGAGATAATTTCATTGCCTACAAAAATGACTTGAATGTTTATTGTCGTATCTCCAATAGTTTAAAAGTTATACCAACTTTTAAGTCAACAAATGGATCAGCTGCTGCAACTTTGATAGTACGTATATTTTCAAAATTTAATAAAAAATGTAATAAAATTTTTTCCGTAATTTTAATGCACTAAGTCGTTTTTGGAATTTTTATTTCTTTCAGGAAAAAAATAAATCAAAGTTGGGAATTTGTTTATAACAAATTGTTAACTTAATAAACAATGGAATTATTAAAATTTTTTTTTTTTGCTTTCACTTTGTAGAGGACTGTCAATTATGATTAAAAAAAAAAACACATTTCTTAACTAATAATTTAAACAATAGATATATTAAAAAAACGATTATAAACAATTAAAAGTTATTATTAAGAAAACAATTTTTTTTTAAATCATAATTGGCAATTGTCTAGAAAGTTGTAAAAAAAAATTTGAAAAAAATTTATAAACAAATGGAGGAAATTTTTTTTTTTTATTTAATAAATGTCTTTTCTCGACATTAAAACAGTCATATTATAATAAATTGAAAAAAAAAAAAATTTATAGCACCACTGTGACTTTTCTGTTTTTGTAAACTTTAAAAAATTATTATAAACAAAGTATTAACATTTTTTAAACTTTTATGAAGCTATTTTGTTTTATATGTATATAAAAAGAGCTCCACGAAGCAAAAAAAATTTACGGTAATTATTTAATATTTTTATCAATTTGTAATGAGAGAAATTCTAAAATTTTTGTTAATTAACAATAACCTACAGTTCTCGCCATTTACTTAGATGTACCAAATCGAATCTAGTGTAATGATAACTCCGCCCAAGCGACAACCATTGGTCAAACAAATAAGGTTCCATTGGCAGTAGCGTCGTACATTTATTTATTAGAATTAAAACTTAAAAAGCAGGTAAAATTTAAAAGACCGGAAATCCATTAGGAACCGTTAAATACAGATTAGGTGAATCGGTTAAAAATAAGTAACTGGTAATTAAGAAACTGGAATTTTTTCTTTTGTCATTTCTAATGCCCCAAGATAATGTAGTCTTAGGTCTCTTTTTCTAATCGAATTGACTTAAACCTTTTAATGTACTTTTAATTAACAATCACTTATAGAAGGTTTATCGATTTCTAATTTCAGCAATATGAAGGTACGAAAAAATATTAGGATAGAGACTAAGATTTAAGGAAGTGCTTTTTTACATCTGGTATTACTTTCTTTCAATTTGTTCATTGTCGTTAAATAAAACACTGTAATACATGAAATTTGGTGGTTTTAATAAACAAAAGGCAGAACACAAGAAACAAACAATGACGGTTACGAAAGAAACTTTACAAATTTGAGTTAAATAATAAGAATAGGTATATTAAAAAATAAATATTAAACTAATTGTCATCTTCAGATTCAGAATCGTCCTCACTGTTGATATCCTAACACGTTTTTTCTTAGGACTAGAAGAAGGTTCTTTCCCAGTCTTCTCCAATGATTTTTGTCCTTCATGAATAATTCTTTCCACTGTAGCAACAGAAACTCCTATAAAGAACACAGAAAGAGAATCGTTATAATTTGTATAAAAAAAATATGGAAATATATATAATTTTTTAAAAAAACTTTATTTTATACCACATTATACCTATTTACTTCGTCGAAACGTCGTATTTCAAATAAAAAATAAGTGTTTTTTGATTCCAAATAATTATGCAAAAAGTAAAAATGTGATGTTAATAAAATCTTAATTTTATCTTACCTGTCACTTCGGATGTTTTTATCTTTACATCTGTTAGAGTGTCTTGTTCACTTTTAACCGTTTTAAAATATTTGTACACTTTAAATATTACTTCACGAGTTTGTCCGTGTAGACGAAGCTTACGTTTGTTTTCACTTTGATGAGACATTATCAGAAGACTAAACCTGGCCCGCTACTGAGTACTTCACAATCGACGCTTCAGATTGGGTGTTCGCCCGAGCGCACTTAACCAACTGTTGTCTTACGTGAAATAATAGATATTGCTGTCTCGCTTGTCTAGTACATCTAAGTAAACGGCGAGAACTGTACTTTGTTGGAAAATTAATTTTTATGAAAAATTCCAACGGGAATGAATTCTTCTAAGTGTTTAGAATACACCGTAATTTTTTAAAATTTTTGAATTTAATTTTATTAACTTAAAAAAATTATTTTATGTAACGTACTCGGTTTCGACGCCGTTCCCGCAACCTAAAAATGGCGCGCGGAAGGCTACTTTGAGCGTTAAATTAAAATTATAAATAATGGAGGTACAGTTCCGGGAGTCGGAACTTATTTATAGCAAATTTCCTCCTCTTTAAGGATCTTTTTTGAAAAATCCAAAAATATTTATAGTTTACAAATTATAGGCGAAAAACCAAACACCATATTTTTGAGGTGTTTAATTGTTTATAACTTTTGCAATTTTTTATGCACTGCAAAATTTTTCTTCACACATTGATCTAGACATTATTCCGAATCGAATGAGCTATTGAACATAATTTTCGTAATAGTATGTCCCAAAAACACGCTTTTGAACTTGTTGATTAGACTACTATATGCAAAATCCTAAAAAAAAAGGAAGAAGGTTTAGAAATACTTACAATTTTAGTTAACTGTTCTATATCATCTAAATTCATGTTTTTTTCATGGACATTTTCTTTCTTAAGTTCCGTTAAATTGATATCCTCTCCAATTTTCATAAGTTTAAGAAGCAAATAAATTGTTTAGACAAGTTCACTTAAGAAAACATATATATACAATCGTATAATCTGTTTTTTCTTTAAGTCGCTGAACATGATAGTTAAGAGAAGGACACTGCCTACTATCACATCCATGACTGGTATCATATTTTGTTTTATATTTCAGATTCGACATAACACAATTTTTACATGATAATATATTATTTGAACAATCACTTTTTTGGTGCTCTTCAGAACAATTTGGACATATTTTAGCATTTTTCTTTTTTTTTTTAAACTTTGATAAAAACCTTTTAGTAGCGATGTTCGTTTAATATAAACAAAATTAAGTGTATAAATTTTATATTATGTATTTTTGTTAAATTCTTTTTTGTTTATAATATTATAGAAATATGTAATTAGGCTAATGACTGTTTCTGAAAATAAATAAATAAAAAAAACTGTTTTTTAGGTGTGGTAGAAGCCAACACCAATACTAATTTCGTAGACCAACCAACTGAAACTGAATCTGAAACTATCAAAATTGAAAATGCAGATAATCCTAGTCAAGAGCACATACCTGATAATCAAAATGGAGAAAAATCTGTAGATAATGTTCAGGAGGATCAAATAGAACAAAATCAAGAAAAAGTAATACCTACTGAAAAAGATATTGTTAAAGAAGAAGCAAGTTTGAGTGAAGTAGTTAGTAAGATAGAGGAGACAAATGTAGAACAGACTAATGTAGAAGAAGGTATGGTTGTAGAACAAGTTATTGAGGAATCAAAGTCTGTTCAAGAGGCAACTCCCGTTGAAGAGGAAACTTCTGTTGAAGAGGAAACTTCTGTTGAAGAAGCAACATCTGTTGAAGAGGCAGCATCTGTTGAAGAGGCAGCATCTGTTGAAAAGGTAGCATCTGTTGAAGAGGCAACGTCTGTTGAAGAGGCAGCGTCTGTTGAAGAGGCAACGTCTGTTGAAGAGGCAACGTCTGTTGATGAGGTAACGTCCGTTGAAGAGGCAACTTCAATTGAATCTGAGGGACATTCCACACAGTTTACAGAAATGCAAACTTATGAACCAGGAGAGGTAAGGAATCTATGTTAATTATATTGTTTTAATTGAGTATCAGTTAATTTTTTATTATTTAGGCATATTATATAAATATAAGATAAACATTCATATTGTAGACATCAAACTAACATTTTTTATTTTTTTCAGGAAAGTTTCAGTATTGTTGAAGAAGTATCTGAAGATGCCACGACTTCACAAAAGGATGGTTCTCAAGCTGAAGTTGTGGAAGATGAATTATTGATGGACGTAATAAGTACAGAAGAACAGCAACAAAATAATTCAGAACATATTGAAATTGCTGAAAAAAAACCTAGAAAGACTAGAAAGCCTATATTTGAGGTACCAATGCATTTGATGGGCCACGATATAAACAAACCTGTTGATCCTGTTCAAAATGGTAGCAGGGCATTGCCAAAACCAAGGTTGGGAGTAAAGGTATAAGTGTAAAATATTGTATTTAATTTCTTTATTGTTGTAACTGGTTGTTTTTTATATTTAATAACTTTTTTGTTTTTGTTCAGGGCTATACAGTGTCGGCCACTGTACGTTTTCCAATACGGTTTACACAAGTGGATGTGAAAACATATAGTTAGCATTATTGCAAGCAGGAAGCGAATAATATCAGTGTAACTGCATTGTAACTTTGGCCTGGCCATATAAGCTGGTAATGCTGTTATTTTTAGTTTCCTGCTTGATCTACTGCTAAACTATTTGTAGTTTCTACATCCACTTGTGTAAATCGCATTGGAAAATATAAACAGTACTAATTCATTTTGTGCTTTATTGCAATGAATATTTATTGCAATTGATTTTACTTCAACAAATTAATATTTACTAATTAAAATGTTCATTTTGAGAATGTTATTTTATGAAAAGTGTGTCCTTTCTATCTTGTTCTTGGTTATAAACTTATAACTTTTTAATTTGTATTTCATGATAATAATTTTTATAGTTTATTCAAGTCTAATAAATAATTTTTTTGTTACTGCTTCCCTTGTACTCCATTCACCTAATTTTGAAGGTACCCTATCGCAACCTGACGAGCCAGATAGTATCCAAAGCTGAATTAGAAGAAGTTATATTGGAAAGATCGAGAGCTAAGGAAGAGGCTAGCAACAAAGCTAACATTAAATTCGCTAGAAGTTTGACTCAGAGATTGGCTAACAAAATTGTCCCGGAAAAAGGACGGAAAGATAAAAAGATGAAGGATACTACAAACAAGGAAGGAAAAGAAAAGGAAGATCAAATGGATATTGCAGAAGTAGATAAATCATTTTCTCAAGAACCGAGTAATTCTGTGCCAATTGATGATTCTAAGATTCAGAATGATGATGACTTGTTGGCTATTTTGGAAGGAGAAGGGGAAGAGATGCCGGTGTTGGCTAAAGAACAACCGAATAGTCAGGTAATATTCATTTATTTATGTACATTTTACATTTTTACATTTATATTTAACAGTCATTTAGTTACAATTAAAAAAAAAAAAAAAAAAACAAGGAAATGCTAAGCACCTAGGTGTGTGCTATATTCAAATGTTTTTTTTTATTAAACTTTTATAACTGTTCAATTTGGAGGTTATGTTGCATATCAAAATCAGTAACATTTTAGTTTTTTAAAATTTTCTGGCGAAAACAAATTAATTCTAGATTTGTCACAAAAGATAAATTCAAGGCGATAATAATAAAATGGCACTGTCCGTCCTAAGAGATATCTATAACGCGGTTTAGACATAATGTATGACCCACAATAAACTCGTTTTTGGATACGCAATAAGAATTACTGTTATTTATATTATAGCATATACAATACTAAATTTTTAAGCGCCTCGAGTTTGATTCATATTTCTAATATTTTTTCAGTGTGCAACAAAAATTAAATTTATGCAATTCGATTTTTTTAGTAATAAGACTATGCTAATATTACTAATGATAAAAAATCTTTAATTAACATTGGTTTTGTCTTATGAACTAGTAAAACCGACAGTAGATTTATCTTTAGAACTGTCTTGGATTTTTGTTAAATATGGCGGCTATTCAAAGGTATAAGGAAGTTATTTTAAGACAGAATCATATTTATAAAATATTTCAATAAAAACAATGTGATACAATAAATATAAGCTGTATCAGTCATTCATACAAAACAAGTTCATCATTTTTTGTTTGTTTTATTTCATACAATTAAAAATTAACATAATCAAATTATAATTAAAGTTAAAGCATCTAGGTGCAAGCATCTGTAAGTGCTAAAGTAAATAGGATAGTAATTTACACATTTATACATAGTTTTAAAATATCTGTAATAAGAATACAAAATTATCTAAAGTACATCTCTATATACACCAATATCAGAAGTGATATACTGTTTTGATTTCTTCTGAAATTTAAATTTTTTATGTTCCTCACATTGACAGACAGTGCTGTTTAAAATCATTTTAAAAACGATTTAAATCAAAGATCATAAATCGTTTGCATTTGAACAAATGATTTAAATCAAAGATCGATTTTTTAAATAGAAAGATTTAAATCAAAAATCTTTTTCAGATTTAAATCTTTTTTACAATTTAAATCATTTTAGGAAAGATTTAAATCTTTTTAAACGAATTTTCAAAAGATTTAAATCTTTTTATAGATTTGGGTAACTCTTTAAAAAATGCTTTCAGTGGGCCTATGAGCCACAAAACCAAAGATAATGAATACTTAAGTAATGTGATTTTCTCATAAATAAAACGCAAAAATCAATCAACTTTTCTTGTATTTATTTTTTATCGTTAATAATCCAATGCATTTCTTACGGAAATATTAATTTTAAATAATAAATATCCGATCAAGATAAAATTTTTAAGGATTTATGCAGCATTGATACGTATAGTTATGAAAACTGTTATTTAAAAATGTCATGTCGATAGGTAAATAGGAATTTTTCAACCCTTTAAAATCAGGGCTGGTATATCTAAGGGGGTCGCGACATAGACCCAGTAAATGGATGAGGGGGTGACTGAGGCTAGGGGGGAAATAGTAGTCAGCTTAAGTTGGCAACACTTTTCTGACGTTCGTTTGAACGAGCATCGTGCATAATGTCAATATGGTACAAGTGGAATGAACCACTGTTTTCCTCGTAGTCCAATGTCGAATTAAAACTAAAAATATTTTGTACTTTTTTATATACCAAATTATGCAATTTGTTTCCACTTTATTTTAATGTTACATGAATAGGTACATGCGTTTGTGCTGTGGTAAATAAGTGTTCATGTGAAAATTATCTCTTAAACTACATTGTGATTGCACTCATCTCAAAACTGAATGCTGTAAATCCAGGATTTAAATCTTTCATAGTGTTGCTTGGGATAAATTGTAAAAAAGGTGTTGGACAAAACGTTTACAATCTAAAATTGCATGAAAAACATGATAGAAGAAGGAATTTTACCTTTATGACATTCTCTTTCAACATTTTTAAGTGACTTTGTGGTTTGGTGAATGGACTGTTACCACAGTCAAAAGATTCAAAGTAAAAAAAAAGTGACCAAGTTCTAATAAGAATACATAAGTTGAATATGAAAATGTAATTACTTAATTTAAATGTGATTTAATTAAGAGTTAAATAGAGGTTTCATATAAACAAAGTGCTGTAAAATGTTAATAAATGCAAAACCATTATTAAAGAGAAATTAGTTATCATCAATAAGATATTAGTTATCATCAATAAGATATTTTGTAGTAGCTGGTCTCTATAAATAATAAACTTGAAAGACTGAATTAGTAGTCACTTTTACACTAGAAGTAAAAACAAAAAAAAAATGTGTGGTTGAGACTAATTTATGTATTTAATAAAAACATATTTAACATAAAAGCAGGTGTTATTTGAAATGTTTTATTTTAGTTTAATAATCTTTATAAATTGTGATCCGAATCTTGCAAATACTATAAAATGCATATGCTTCTATATGGTTAGTATTGGAGTAGAAGCACAAAAGTTTTGAATAAAAATATAGATACCGGAATATTTTGCTTGATTACTAAACTTTGGATGTTTTTGTTGTAGTCTGCTGTTAACACTATTGTCCTGAAATATTAAGAAAGCTAGACAAAGGTTTGTCCAACTCTTTTGTCAGCTTTGTTAATCTATGCTACTGTTATTCTGCATGCAGACATTTTTTACTGGAGATTTTCTCTAAGAACTGTATTCAGTTTCAAATTTCGGCCAGTTTTAGGAAAGTACCTCTGTTGTAAAGGTATTTCAAATCCATCCTTTGTAAGATGTAGACAACAAATACATGCTAAAATGTATAGAAAACAAATCGCAAGATATTACACAAAATTATTTAAATTAAATAAAAACATACAAATGAAGTGAATAATACCTACCAACAATTTAAAAAGACCTAAAATAAATAGACTTAAGGGACTGGAGCTCTAAAAAAGGGAGCAATAATTTTTTGTTATGCATCATCTATAAGAAAATTGTCTTCATCTCTTTAATTACCTTTTAAAATAAACAAAACTAAAACAGCACAAAATTGAAAGTGATCTACTTTTCCCGACGTATTTTATGTACATCTGAGATTAATAATTTATTAAATTGAAATATTTTATCCTAAAAAATATGGGCATTTTATAATGGAAATGTCATTTAAGAAATGACATTGATTTTTTTTCTTATATTGGTAAACCTGGCGACTACAAGTTGCGACGTTGCCAGATCAATGGCGACTACTATGGTGACTACTATTTCGAAAAAAATGGCGTCCAAAATGGACTCCTATGGAGACCTAGTTTTTAAGAAAAGTGTTTTTCACTTATTTTCACTTAAATGCGTCAACTCTTCCTTGAGTTAACGTGCTTAATGTTATACATACATAAACACCCACATAGATGCACAATAAATCTACTGTCGGTTTTACTAGTTCATAAGACAAAACCAATGTTAATTAAAGATTTTTATCATTAGTAATATTAGCATAATCTTATTACTTAAATGCGTCAACTCTTCCTTGAGTTGACGTGCTTAATGTTATACACACATAAACACCCACACAGATGCACATACATCAGACTCTTTAAAAATATGTTTTTTTGTTTGTACTTAGGAGACTCTCTCCTGGAATTCCGGAATTTTTCCGGAAAAATGCATTTCATTTTCAAATTCTCCCGGCTTCAGGAATGTACCTAAAATCTCCCGGATCTTTAAACTATGAATAATGAATTTGAATGGGTTTAATTAAAAGAGTTCTCTCAACATGTATATGAATGCATGAGGATAAACTGTATGATAATAATTAAACCAATGATAATAATAACCAAAGTAGGCACGTTTGGGTTAATTTTTTTGAAAAATGTATGGATCAATCAGGCAAAGAGATAAAAAAATTAATTCGCTCTACCTATGTTCGTCTTAATGCAACTCATGTCAAATCTGAAATAAAAGTGTACATAAATTTAAAATACGTAAAGAGTTTTATGATTATATCGATATTAAGTATTTCCAGCTACTTACGGTGTAAAAAATACAACTTTACAAAAAAAATATTGTGTCAAAAATATTGTAAAATTTCATACTTAGAATAATCTTTAGTTACTTGCAATTATTTGTTACACTTTACTATTTTTTGTTTTTCTTTTCTCCCGGATTTCTGATTCACAGAGTTGGCAACCCTACTGACATGCTGGCTAGATTATTATTCAGGAATGGACAGGTTGATAACGATTTTGACGAATCAGGTGATTTCAGCCCCCTTCTCGTCTCTTGAGTGTTTTTATATATATAAATATTTTTACGGAATTAAATCATTTTGAAAAGATGTAAATCCTTTTAAAAAGATTTAAATCTTTAAAAAAAATTTAAATCTTTAAAAAGATTTAAATCATTTTAAAAAGATCGCATTATTTTACAGATTTAAATCATTTCAGAAAGATTTAAATTAATAAAAAGATTTAAAACGTATTAAAAAGATTTAAATCGTTTTAAAAAGATTAAATCGTTTTAAAAAGATTTAAATCATTTTAAAAATATTTAAATCGTTTTAAAAAGATTTAAATCTAATTTTTAAATAAAAAATCAAAGATACTTTTCAGAAAGATTTAAATCATAAATCTAAAATCATTTTTTAAAAAAAGATTTAAAATCAAAGTATTTAAATCAAAAAATGTATTTAAATCAAAAAATGATTTAAATCTCACTGATAGGTGACAGCTCTGTTGACAGGTAAGGTGTTAAAAATTTTGGGAGCAACATAAGTTACAAATCTTTGACTTGCATCTCGCTGAACTGCTGGAGTTCTCAGATTCTCATTAAATCTGGATCTTGTGTTGTGCAAGTGCTTTGCAGTATGTCTCAGTTCAGGCTTTCTATAAATAAAAGTACAACAACAATGATAATACAATGTTCCTATATTAATCACTTGTTTGTTATATAAAAGAGAGGTAGGATACAATGTCGATTTTTTGTAAATAACTTTGACGATACGATTTTGGATTACATTAAGGCCCGTATTTATAAACAGAACTTACCTGAATCGGACTTGGGTAAGTCGTCCTTGAACGAAAATCGAAGTTCGGTTACAACGTATCTAAAGTTCCAGGTGGTTCTGATGTAACACTGGAATTTAGAGATGGATATTAGCAAATCTGTAACTGTTATCTACATTTACAGATTTGTTACTACCCATCTCTTAAATTCCCGCGATATAACCGAACTTCGATTTTAGTTCAAGGACGACTTACTCAAGTCCGACTCAGCTGAGTTTTGTTTATAAATACGGGCATAAGAGGTTGAAGTGCTATATCATATAAACCACCCCATATTATTAAACCATATCGGAAAATAGACTCAACCAACGAATTGTAAATAGTAATTAGTAGACTCTTAGTCATAAATTTCCTTAACTCATAAAATTTAAAAATAAATCTTCTAACCTTGGTTGTTAATGATTGAATGTGCTCACTCCATTTCAAATTTACAGGTCATAACAAATTCTGATACCTTTTTACACATTGCTGCTTCAAACATTTTTGAGAATAGTTTCTTGTTATACTCTCTCTTTACCTTTTTATAACTATCCCAAAACCTATTATCCACTCTTCTCATTGTGAATAGAATATTTAAACGCCTTTTGCATTCTTCCACCTCAGAGTTACTCATAGGACAAAACTGACATTTTTTGTTAGACGTTTTCTCTTTGACTTTTTTCAATGGGAAACATATGTTGAAAATGTATAAAAAGGTGCACATAAAAGATTCCCATTGCTTATTAATATCACACTTGTCTACCTGTTTAATGAATTTCCAGTTAACCTCTTTCAACCTTTCTATAAATTCATTTATATTTTCCTCATTAAAAAATCTTTTAAAAATATAATTAGTTTTACCTGGGTTGTTAATCTCAGATGTCAGCATTTGTGTGGAGTGGTTAGAGATGGAAGCGTGCAGAACCACCGAATGCTTATATTGAATATTTGTTAGGTATTATCTATACGACATGATCTAGATGTTGATGTTACTCTAGTATATTCATTAACAGTATGAGTTATATCATATGAGTTTATCATTGTAATAAATCTGAAACTATCAATTGAGTCTTTTTTAAATTTATATTGAAATCTCCCCCTATCACTACTTTACAATTTCCCTCAGTTAACATTCTTATCATTTTAAACCTTTCCAAAAAAAATTGTATCCTTGAACCCGCAGGTCTGTATATTGATAAAACATTTACATTTTCAACTTCTATTTCACATGCTGCACATTCTATTTTGTTACACACTGACAATACCTGAATATCCATTTGAACTTTCCCTTTCACACCGTTTCGTAGATACACTGCACTGCCCCATGTTTATTTTTTTCTCTACAGAAGCTTGTGCACAGATAGAAACCATTTATTCCATAATCCTCAATCTGTTCTCTTGATTTCCAGTGTTCCGTAATGCATAAGACACTGCCTATTATCACTTATAAGCTCCTCTAACTCATCCACACTGTTGCCAATTGATTGTACATTTTGATGTAATAAACTAATTTCTTTTTTACACATGTCCACTGTTGTCCTTGTTTCCTCTCTTTCTATTTTTCTGCGAAATTTCCTTCTCTGTCGTAGAAGAAGTCTTTATGTCTGTCCATTTGGAACATTTTAATGCCAACTCTGGCTTGTACATTGATTCTTTGTTTTCTAAAGGTGCAGCTACTACAAATCTTTTTAACTGGTTATTAAGACTAGGAAGTTCCTTTACATGTAGAGATTCCTTATTTTCTGTTAGTTATTTCATGATTTCATTTTCATTTGCCGTACGTTTGACCCGATAAATGTATAACCAAACTTTCCGATTTTCACCAGCAAAACCATTATCATGTTCAGTTTCAGCGCTTCCGTAGTTATTTTGTCGTCTTCTCCTGTGGATTACTTTTTTGTATCCGTCTTCATCAAATTCGTCTTTGTTTTGATGTTTTTTGTTTACTTCATTGACATTGACAGTCAGTTCTTCTGTGTTTGTCACAATCATTTTTCGGTGCACTATTTGCTCGTTTGTAGTTGGTTCAGTGTTAGATTCTGATGCCTGTTTAGAATTTGCTTTTGTTAAGAGATTATCAGCACTGCCTCCCGTCACTTCATTCGTTCTCTGCGTACCATGATGTGACCTTGGCACGTTTGACTGTTGGTTTCGATTCCATGTAGAATATCCTGGAATTTGAACTGACCCGCGAACGCTCTTGTTTACATATGTTAGACTGTTTTTTCTGCTAGTTTTTGTTCAAGATATCCAATTCTTTCTAGTAATAATCTATTATTTTCTTTTTATCTTCCATTTCCTCTACCAATCTTGTTAGCATTGTATTATGTAGCTGCAGTTTAGATTGGTCTCCATTTTTATCAGCTTCTTAGTTAATACTTTTGATCTTGCTTTCGCCATGTTCTTTTCACAGCATATTATTCTGTTTTGATTTATCACTTTTATTGATTTAAAATCTCTTGCAAGACAGCTTGAATGGTAACAATTTGAACACTTTTCACACATAACTACTTTACACTGCTTTTTTACAAAGCATTTGAACATTATGGTTTTAAAACCGAGATTTTCATCGCCGTCATCTTGACCACAACTCTCATCGCCCGCCATTTTGTCTTATTATTTTATCTATGACTGAAAATGAATAACGTGTTTCTTATCGTCACAAAGTAGCCATTTGAAGTATTGATAAGTTTACCACTGATTCAAATCAGTTACCTAAATATCTGAAGCAGGTAGGCAGAAGAAATATTTGTACCAGGAGTAAATATTATGAAATAATCTCACTTTTTAGATTTCCGCGTTGGCGAAGCATAAAATTAAATGATCCCACTAAATGCCGTAATAATTTGAGTTCTGAAAATTTACATTGTTGCCGTTTGACCACAGTCCAATTGGCATTTAGTCACCCTCATTTAAAAAGTGTTTGGCAATAATCAAAAGACGGGTATCTGCTTGAGCTATAAGACAAGACCATCGAAAAGAAGATAACATGACCACCTAAAATTAATAAATGTAAAATATTTTTATCATCGCCTTAGTAAAGTTTTAATCTCAAAAAAAGTTATTTTTAACATTTGTCATTAACAAAATTTCGCTCTTCTAATTAAATTACGTGTCCCAAAAGTAATTGCTGTTATTTTTTAGATTCTGTATCTGTTTTTTAAGATTTGGTTAGAATAATCTACTGGCCTGATTAATCAGAATCCTAATTAAGTGTAATCAACTGTTTGAATAGAAAACATATAATTATTTTTATTCTAGGTGGATGATAGTAACCTGAAGTTACTAGAACGAGAAATAGCTCTACAACAACTTCAAGAACTCCCCCTACAAGAACCAAAAGAAAGAATTTTAAAGCCAAGATATTCCAGTAGAACTTCCACCAGTGTGAAGGCAGAAATTTCACCAAAAGGAAGATCTGAAAAAAGTAATTCGTCAAATTCAACTTTGTCGACATCTAAATCAACTTTATCAACACCTAAACCTACTTCATCAACACCTAAACCAACTTCATCAACACCTAAACCAACTTCATCAACTCCTAAACCAACTTCATCAATACCTAAATCTACTTCGCACAAAGTTAGTGCTCAGTCTTTGTCAAAATCAAGTTCGCCATCCCCTAAGAAGTCATCAGAGATAGACTTAGATATTCCATCACCTGTCAAGAAACAAATTGAAATTGAACCTCAAGTTAAGGTTAACATGGTATTGAAAACCTATTCAAGAAAGAGAAAGCCTTCAGATATTATGGACTTGGAAATTCCATCGCCGAAAAGGCCCTCTTTCGATGATCCCGAGTTTCAGCCAGACACAAATCCAAAATCAGATCCTTTAGCTATACCAACTGATGTTTATGTTACTAAGAGCTCCCGTATTATTAAGAAAAAAGTGATCTGGGATCCAGATGATGAGCAAACACCTACGAGCTTCAAACGTACACCTATAGCTAAAGTCGTTGAAAGTCCCAAAAATATACCAACCAAGGTTGTAAAAGTAACCCCAAGTCTTGAAAAGAAAGTTAGTGAGAAAACTGTTGATAAGCCTAAGCCAGATCAAAAGACTGTTATGAAGTCTCCAGAAAAAAGTATTGAAAAAGTGGTTCCTAAAAAGGTTGTAAATAAGAAGTCACCTGCCAATAAGCCAAAGAAAGGTAATTTTTTTCAAGTAAATTAATCAATTGTACAAATAGTTGCAGTTAAGCTAAAAGCTACAATATAGAAGTATAATACATACATACATACAAAAACTAGATTTAAATTTGATTTTACACTAGCTTCGTTCGCGGTAACAATCCTGAACTGATTCAGAATTAGTAATTCATACTTTGAGCGCATGCCCGAATCATCAATTCTGAATTTTTACCGCGCGCGCAATCCCTATTATATCTAGGCGTTTCAGATATAGACAAGCGGTTCAAAATCAATAATAATTTTACCGCGAACACAATAGAACCAATAGTTCAGTTCTTTTTGTTCCGCGAACGCTTATTAACTACTGCGCCTGCGAAATCGTTACTATTAGTAATAATTTGGTTCAGGATTCTTACCGCGAACAAAGCTATTGATTAAAATACGAAATACAAATAAGATATGAATAAAAAGAATAAAAGAATAGAAGCATAAAATACAATGGTAGAATTTAAATTTAGTTTCAAAATAAAGTTTTAATTAAGAGCAAACATGACGGGCGCTCCTCCGCCTGAAATCAATTTTACATTTGAGGCAGTTAAAAAAAATTGTAAAAAAAAATGGTTCAGGCCAATCGTTGTAAAAATGAACCAAGAATTTCGCTAAACCGCGAAAAACTTATATTTTTAAAGAAAGACAAAAAAAATTTCAACTTTTTAACAAATTTAATTTTTTGGCTCTTTACCGGCATTCTATAACAAATATCTTAACTATTTTCTAAATAACTTTTTTTCAAAAAGATTACCAATTTTAAACAGGACCGAAGATTAACATAGTTTTCATTCCGATACTAATTCTATTAAAACAATGATACCAGTGAATATGGCAACGCTGCTAGTCTTTGAAGCCCGTTGTTAAAAGGGTAGCTGCTGTTTAGTTAAATTTGTTAATTCCTGTGTCGAAAAATAGGTAGTTGTTTTTGAAGAGGTGCGAAATTATTGTGATTGTCTTAGTTTATTGTTGAGGCGTTGTTAGGTTTTTGTTTAATTTAGTTTTTAGTTAATTTATGAAATGAAAAATTCTGGAAGGCAAAAATGCACAGCTGACAAATTTCTATTTTATTTGTTTGCTGCCAGAGTTAGTAAATTCTAGAAAAATACGACATGTGCCAATTAGGGAAAAGAGATTGTCAAGAATTTTGCATGCTTAAAAAATGTGTAATATACAGGGTGTTTCTAAATACATGCGACAAAATTCAGGAACTGATTGCTCGTATGAAATTAAGATGGGTCTTTCCTATAACAAAATTTCCTCAGCCCACCCCTTTTCGAGATATCACCCTTAAAAAGTGGTGACTAAAATTGACTTTTTATTTTTTTTCTAAAATTTCAGTAAAGCTAGAAACTTGAAATTCTGTAATCGCAAAGGACTAACCACGGGTATTTTTTCAATATTTCTGTTACATTATAGGGGGTGAAATTAGCAACACTTACTTTAGTTCGTATCAAAACTTTTTTTTGAGATGAACTTTTATGAAATCCTTGATTTATTTAATTTTTTTTTATTCTTGAATTTTTTTCCCAAAACCAATAGCTTCAGAGAAAAAAATTAACACCCTAATTTATTATTATTTTTTTTTAATAAATTGAGTGGAAAACAGTGTAACGGGCTTGTAACTATCGTATCGTACACTCTGTCATTATTCGTTTCTTGCAATAATTTACACCAGTATACACCAGAAGATAGCACTTAACGAAGCGTTTTAGCCACTAATTTTGGCGAATTTTAAGAAATCATTAACAAGACATTAGGGGCTTAAATTTGGGGATTATATTAAGAATAGTGCTGTCGAGGAATGCATTTATTTTCATTATGATATTTAAAAATTAAAGCCCTTTTACTTTTTTTTGGGAAACTGGAAGGAATTAAAACATTAAAATATATGCATATTATAGATATTATTTGCCTAATTTATTTTGCCAAAATTTAAATATTTTGAGATATTCTTGTTCGAAAATTATAAGGGGTATGAATACCTTCAGATTGAAAGAGAATTAACTTTAATTCATGAGATGCAAAGCATCATAATTGTCGCGTCACAAAAACCACCTGCCGCCAAGAGAAAATTTTGATTCAACAGTATTGTATATTTTGTGTTGTAAAAGTGAAAAAATTAACATTTCGTGTTTTAATAGTTATTTTTTTAATTTAATAATCTATGTGAAAAAAAATTTTTTTAATACAGACTTTAAAAAATTGTTATATTAATATACTTATTTAATTGTACTTATATTTCTTGTTCCTTTAATACAATAAATACAATTTACCTATCTCAAATTCATCACTTTCCGTAGCCATATACCTAGGGTCCGATTACAATTAGAAAAACACCGCTACGTCATAACTATTATTTCGAATTTCCAATATACAGGGTGTCCCGAAATTAGACGGTCATATTTTAACAGCGTAATCTACATCCTACAAATATTAGAAATTAAAAATTAAAAAAAACCGAATTCAAAAACGTGCAGACACCGTCACCACATTTTAACCAAATTTATATAGGATCACCCCTGAGGTACCCCCTTACTACCAAAAAAAGAATCATATAAATCGGACAAGGTGGTAAAGCATTATCGCTAAACATACATAAAAAATGGAGAGTTTGAGAATTTTCTCATGGGCCCAATTATTAGATTTTGACCAAATTTATATGGAACCACTCCTGAAGTACCCCCTTTCTAATAAAAAAGAATCATTGAAATCGAACACCGTGTTGAAGAATTATTGCTGAACATACATAAAAAAAATATTGCGACGAATTGAGAACCTCCCTCCTCCTTTTGTGAAGTCGGTTAAAAATAGGAGTAAAAGTTTATAGCTTTGTCCCAACATCTCACAAAACCGTAATATTACGGTCATCGTCATGCGCAGTAAATAAAAACCGTTCGACTTTCGGCTTTATTGATAGGTTTTTATTTACTGCGCATGACGATGACCGTAATATTACGGTTTTGTGAGATGTTGGGACAAAGCTTATATAAACATAGGTCCGAAAACGTTTCGTTTTCGAGATACAGGGTGTTACAAGTGAAGTCCAGATGAAATATTTTCTAAAATTTCTTTAGTTACCGGTTTTTCAAAGTTAAAAAAAAAATAAAATTTCTAATTCTACAGACCTACTAATTATTGTTTACACTTTCGAATAAGGTAACATGCTTTTCTCTTGAAAATAGCGCGTCCTAGCGAGATGCAACAAATGTAGCTTTATTATACAGAAAATATTGGTTTTCCAAATTTTATAGTCAAAAAATCTGATGTGTCCAACACATGACTTTCCTATCTAGTTATTATAGGCTTTTTCTGGTTATTTTGTACAACTTATTGCAGTACCTCTATAAATGTTTAGAGGATAAATAAACTAAATATATACATTTTCCACATACATCTATCTACCTCGAAACATTTTTCTATAGTTATTCATTGAAAACGAAAATACTGAAAAATTTAAATTTAGCAATTTTCCTACAATTTTTCCATTATGGTCCATTTTAAAAAAATCATGTATAAACAAAAATTATAGAGATCGATATCGCAAACAACTTTTAGTTTAGTTTAGAATTTTGCACATTTTGTCAAATTTCTCGAATACGGACCATTTCTGGAAATTTTGACATAAAACAAAAATTATAGATAATAATATTAGAAATAACTTTTATTTGAATAATTTTCTTCTCCAAACATAAATAACAGATATATTCAATAAAATATAAAAACGGCCTCCCATAAAGTAACCCCCCAGATGTTCCGACTTTGTCCAAAATCTAATTATTTCACGTCAGGCCGAAATAAAACTTAAGTTTAAAATTTAGTGTTTTTTTGTGTATCGGTTCATGAGTTATGGTGGATATAGACACACAGACACACACGGCAATTTTACCCTAAGCTCCCCCTAATTTACACACCTAAGAAGATGATCAATAACTGGGGTTTAGTCCAATAAATGAAGCGTAAAAAGGTAAGTATTTGTAACAAATTTTACCTAATTATCTTTAAACGTTTAGAAAATATTTACAAAAGTGTGGTATCAGGACTTCACCTTTAACACCCTGTATCTCGGAAAAGAAAAGTTTTTGGACCTATGTTTATATGAACTTTTACTACTATTTTAGGATGTAGATTACGCTGTTAAAATATGACCGTCTAATTTCGGGACACCCTGTATATCATCTATAACTATCAATAAATAAAAAATATTTGAGTTGTTGGTTTAAAAATAGTATTCCTACATTCGTATATTAACAAGCCACTAACCCCCAGTAGGCGGCGATAGCCAACGAATTATACCTGAATTGTAATCGGACCCTTCAGCGTACGACACACAACATTGCCAAATTTATGTAGCGAACAAGGTTCCAAATACTTTAAGGGGAGGTCTTGAGATTCGTGCGGTGTGACGTCAGAAGGGACTGGATTGCTCTTAAGATTTGTAGTAAGAATCGTTTTTTATTTTAAGAGAAAAATTTACATTACAAACTGAAAGACCTGCAGGGCAACAGTAGTTTAGTAGGTATAAAAATTACAACTTAAGGGTGGAGCCTAATACTACAAAATTATTTCAGAGACTAAACAAAATCAGCATTTATTCATAATTTTAACAATTGCATGTAGATACAAGGGATATATATTCTAAACTCTTAACGCGCGAAGTTGGGACAAAGGAACCGAAAAATATTTCACAATAGCACAAAATATGTATTTTTCAATTATTGATTGTTTGAGAGTAGAAAAGCGTCCAAAGTTTAGCAATACATTCGCTCCTGTACCACCGATGTCCTCGATTCAAAAAGCCGAAGCAACAAATACAGAAGACCAATGTAAACGGACAATAAACGGTCTCTTGACATTTTACATTTTTAAATAAACTAGGTTTTTAAAAAATATTTTCTATACCTGTTGTTTTTATATTCAAGCGGAATTATAATATTCAAAGTCATGAGTGAGTTAGTTAAATGAAAAGATA